ATCCCTTGATTCGGCCAGACCTGTTATTATATTATTAACTTMTTGRAAAAGACTTGAGTGCCCTTCTTTAAGTAARRGRCACTYGAACTAATATAACAGTACACATCAGCATTCTCAACAAGTACAAAGACTGAAATACCCCTTCACTAACACCACTAACTTGTGTTAATGGTAGTCCTAGTTCAGATGACTCCGTATTAGAATTTGTGGGTAAGCTGGGATGTAAATTGCAGAATCCGAATGGCCTTAAAGTTTTCTTACAAAAAAGGAAGGAGGAAGGTAAGATCAAGAAAAGGAAGTTAAGCGAAGTTGAGAGGCTGAAGAGAGATGTAGAGGGTGACAAGAGCTTTGTTATGAAAGGGGAAAGGAGGAAGGGGGTCAAGTAGTTTCCAAATGAAGGAAGGGGTCGTTCGAAGAGTTTGAAATGAAATTATTAAGTTGGAATGTCAGAGGACTGGGGAGTGCAAGAAAAAGAGCAACAATTAAAGAAGTGATAAGGAAGGCCAATCTTGCTGTGGTATTTATTCAGGAGTCCAAACGAATGGAATTTGATAGGAGATGGGTAAGAAGTGTTTGGAGAGTTAGGGGGATTAAATGGGCTGTTGTTCCTTCTTGGGGGGCTTTTGGAGGAATAGTGGCCTTGTGGGAAGATGTACTGGAGGGGGTTGAGGAATTAGTAGGCAACTATTTAGTCTCTCTGAAATTTAGGCAGGTGGAGGATGGGTTTGAATGGTTGCTAACCAATGTATATGGCCCCAATGATTACAGGGAGAGAAAGAAGATGTGGGAAGAACTGAGAGATATCAGAGGTTTATGGGAAGGACCATGGTGTGTGGGAGGGGATTTTAATACGGTAAGGTTCTCAGAAGAAACCAATAACCCTAGGAAAAGGGTGACCACAAGCATGAGAAAGTTTAATCAATTTGTGGAAGCTTTTGAGCTTAAAGAGATCCCCCTCTTGCATAATAACTTCATCTGGTCCAATCTCCAGTCGAACTCAATTTACTCTCAGTTGGATAGGTTCCTCTTCTTGACTGTTTGGGAAGAACATTGGGGGAACATTAACTCCAGAACACTCCCTAGACTCATAGTTTTCAAGGCGCCAAGGCGAGGCTAGGCGACAGGGGGCGCCTTGTCACCTAGTCGCCTAGGCGATGGATTTTTTCAAGTAAAAGCATATATCCTATGGTAGTTCCCTAGGTTCCATAATCATATTTTGTTAGTAAATATCCAGAATTTTCATAAGGAAAGTATAAACTTCATGTTAAAGTATAGAAAATCAACATATTCCAACATATTCATGAGAAGAAAAAGAAGAAAGAAAAGAAAAAAAATATATATATAGGGACTGAACCCTTGTTTCTGTTATAGGAAAAGAAGAAAAGAAAAGGTGGAAAAGAAATTAGTATATAAACACACAAAATTAGTAAAGAAAAATAAGAAAATGTGTTGATTGGACAACATTGGTTCAGGTTTTGAAGTCTTTGATGGTTCAATACAGCATTTAGCAATTTTTGTGTTGATTAAACCCCAAAAAATAAGAAAATAATAAAAAGAAATTAGTATATAAACACACAAAATGAATATTTTAGTTTAAAAATGTCTATTTTATAATTATAACCTAAAAAATTTAAGAATATAAAAGTTTTTTATAACACGCTATAGAAAACTTCCTCGTGATTAGGCAAGGCGAGCCTCCAAGGGTGCCTTGTCGCCTAGGCGCCCGCCTAGGCACCGCCTTGACAACTATGCCTAGACTTACTTCTGATCATTGGCCCGTAATGATTTGTAAGGAAGTTTTAAGGAGTGATGGGCTTTCTCCCTGTAGAAGTGTAGATTTGAGAACATGTGGCTAACCCATCCGGGCTTTCTCAAGAAGGTCAAAGAATGTAACCCCCTAGTGGATTGGGAAGGAATGAAATTTCATAAGAAACTCCAATACTTGAAACTTAGGATTAAAGAGTGGAACCGATTGGAGTTTGGCAGACTAGAAGAAAGAAAACAATTCTTAGTTGAGAAGATTGAGGAGTTGGACCTAAAGGAAGAGAGAGGTTCTTTTGGAGAAGGGGACAAGGAGCGAAGATGGGTCTTGATGAAACAATTGGAGGATTGCAAAAGGAGGAAATTAGATGGAGGCAAAAATTCCGTTGCAAATGGTTGAAGGAGGGGGATGGCAATACTAGGTTCTTCCACACTGGCAAATGGGAGAAAGAAGAATTTTATATCCAAGCTGGATGTTGAGGGATCAACTGTTTCACATCTGACAGAAATAGCAAGGGCCTTTGTAGACCATTTCAAATCTATATTTAGAAGGCCACTAAATGAGAGGGTGTAGTTAGAGGAATTGGAGTGGTCCCTCAGCAAGGGCCTGGTTGTGCATCCAGTGGTCCCTCAGGCCAGGTCCATTCAATTTTTAACAGACTCTCAACCCAGGCCCTCCAAGTTGTATCCCTACCAAAAGGTAATTTTGTGTGGTTTAATTTATAACTCCTCACCTGCTGCTTTGCCTGGTTTTACTCTGTTGGCGCAACTGACTTCTCCATTGTTCCTCAAACAAGATCATAAGACACCACATGCTATTGAAATTGATGGCAGATTAGCAGTTATGCTGGTACTTTTTTATGGAAGTTCCTCTATAGTCTGTGGCTGTTAGGACTGATTCCTTCTGTTTGCTGCTCCAATCTTTGTCTTTTTATTTATTTAGGCTTCTTACTGCATGTTTCTCATATCCCTTTTTCCTTTTCTTTAATAAGTTTTACTTTGGAAAAATGAAAAATAAGGAACCTAATAAACAAAGTACTCGAAAATTGTTTTTTGTATCTGCCCACTAGTTTCTTTCCATGCTCATGTTCTTAATAATTATGCGTTATATTAAATGTTCATGGTGGGATTTAACCCTGGTATAATTATCACCATTTGATGGGAATACCAGTGTTTTAAAAGGCTAGAATCAGGCACAGAAAGGGATAGGTGAGGCACATTTTAATAAACAAAAGGCGAGCAGCCTTTTTATAAATTTGCTTTTTTGGTATTTCTTTTTGTACATTCTTGTATTTTTCTATTCCTTCGTAATGGTTTATTAATTTTTAAATTACTTTTACTGGTGCTTGTGCACTGGTAATGGTTTTTTCTGAGCAACGAAAAAGAAAGACCTTTTGAATACATGAAACCTTAGTTATTACAGACAGGATCTTAGATAGCAAAAATTACAGTAAAAAAGCTACAAACATACAGCTGATCTGATCTCTAACCCTAAAATAGAATGAACGATTATCAAAATCATAAAACAAGTTGCCTAATGCGTATGGGCCAAAAATTTGGGTTGGTGGCACTGCCTTTGAACCCCATGGGCTTGTTTAGACACGCCTAAGGGGCCTTGAAGAGATATCAGTGTAAAGGCCCTGACCTCATAGGATTAGGAATGCAGGATATCTAATGTCACCTAGCTACTTGAAATAATGCAACTAGGAGATAGACACACATTGAGAGTTTCACATACTTGAAATTGTTAAGTGCTTGCATCATTTTGCTACGATCCACAATTTTTATTTCTTTTGAAGGGCTACACAACGAGGGGTAGCCCCATCCCCCAATCCAGGTGCAGGTGGGATTTGATCCCAAGTCTGCTACGACCAGCAGGAGACCTTACCAACCAACTGGTTGGCACCTTGCTTTGGTATGATCCACATTTGTTTGCTTTCACTTTCACTTTAAATTTATTTTATATGATATGCCTATGTATTTCAATTTGAGCTTATAAGATTTTTAAAACATTTATTTATTTTTTAATTTTTGTTTCCATATTTTTTATGTATTGTTGTTCTTTATTTATTTTTGAATTTTTCAAAAATTTATACCTTCTAACACCTGAGGCACAATGCACAGCCAAACCTGTTGGGTTTACAGGCAAAGGATTAGGGAAATTAAAAGGTTAACAAGGGAATTGAGTGTTACTTTTAAATGGGTGAGAAGAACTGCAAATGGCATGAAAGATACTTTAGCTAAACAGGGGGAAAACAGGCAGCACTTTTTTTTTTTTTTTGAAACAGGCAGCACTTATTTTGGGCTAAATTGTAAGGCTGGTTTTTGGGGATTGCAATTCTAGTTGTATTTGTTTACTCCTATGGGTGTGGGTAAATTACACACAAAATTGTAAAGTCAAGTTTCATATAATGCTTAATAAAATTTACCTTTGCTGATAAAAAAAAAAAAAAAAACCGTCCATAGGTTCATCCAATCCCACACCCAGTCTTGTGATTTCTGCATCAGGTGTTAGAAGGCCCATGTACTTTTCTTGTGCCTCTTGCTTTAGAGACACTGGGAAACACAATTTTAGAGGTGCATCTTCAACAGAATACAGTAATAGAGCCACTGGAATGATATGATGTTAAAAGCATGATAATACTTACTATTAACTGATCTAATTTCTTAATTCTTATTAGTTGGACAGAATGACGAAGACATACATAGACATCTTAGAAGTCCATTTTAAATGAAATGCAGGTTAGCGGTGGTGTTTCTAGCCTTTGACGTCTTCTTTGCGATATTTTGTATCGCATTGGCTTTTATTGTTGGCATTGCTCTGTGTTGCTGCTTGCCATGCATCATAGCAATTCTGTATTCCATGGCAGTTCGGGAAGGTGCATCTGAAGATGATATCAAGACTCTTCCAAGATATAGGTTTCGCCAGGTTAACAAACAAGAGACATCTGTGTTGGATAAGAAACAAGAAGTTGCAGTGGCAATGGAGCCAAGCACCAGTGAATCCATACGTGAACTTGCTCTCCCACCAGAAGATTCTGTAAGAATATTCTCTTATTGTTTCATTGTTTAAGTATTTATGCAGTGATAGAATATTGTCCCTTTTAGATGAAGCAGCACATAATGATCTGACTAGAATTCTGGTAAATACCTAGAATATGTATAACACTAAGAAGCTAGTCTGAGCTGGTGATAAGACTAATATGCATTGCAAAACAGAATATACCTGGATTCATAGATGAATTAATTTAATATCATCCCAGGTCATATATCAACCTGAGGTCACTGTACATAGAAATAAAATTCCACATATGAACACTTTCCAAGATACATTGATTTCAACATTGTTTAAAAAGCTTATTTAATTAGCTATTCAATGGCCCAGATGACATGGTCTGGATGTCATTTGAGGGAATGATTAAAAAAGAAAAATCTGTGATATGAAATGAAGTATAAGGTATTGAATGGAGGAGATTGTCAGAAAGAAAAAGGTTATATTTTAGAAAATGATGATTATACTTGGACCTGCATCTATGTTGTAGTCTTAAAATATGAGCTTATTTCTTTATACAGGCATTAAGAAGAGAATAATTAGGTATATTCTAGGTTTTATTTGAACATCATGAAGAGAGAATTTGATTTGGTGGACACATATAGATGTGGAAGACCTCGTCAATGTTCTGCTTATAACTTGATGCTTTCCAAAGTTTTGAACCTGCTTACCCTTCAAGATAAAGCTTTTGAATGATAGCATATGATGCACTTAGTGGGCTTTGCTCATGATTTTTATCTCAGTATTTCTTGTATTTTAGGTTTAGGGGTGGGGGTTTCTGAACAAAGAAATCTTACAAATTTGGAATTTTTTTTTTATCAGTAAAAACAAGTAAACTTTTATTAAGATATAAAATGAATTTACATTAGTGGGCAGCCTCAGCTACCCCTACAAACCAAAAAAAAAAAAAAAGAACAGAGAAAACAGCAAAAACCCTGGGCATTTGTTTTTAGTATTACATCTGTGCCCAAAAAACATGTTCTCTTCTAGCCCCTTGTTTTGCCAATTTATCTGCTAGGCTGTTGGCTGATCTCGGAATCCACTGAACTATTATTTGCATATCTTTTGAGATTCTTTTGAACTTTTTGATCTCATTTCTGAACCACCAAGGGCTCTTTTCCTCTTTTCTCAACCAGCTTAGGATTACTTTATAATCACCTTCAATTATCAATTTTTGAATGCCTAACTTCACAGCTTTTTGTAGGCCAAACATGACTGCCTCCAGCTCAGCTCTTGTGGAATCCCCTTCCCCAATTGGTCCTGAGAACATCCCCAGAATTTCTCCCCTCTCATTTCTTATCACTCCTATCCCAGACAGGCCTGGATTGCCAAAGCTACTACCTTCGGCATTCAGCTTAAGAAAATCTACTATAGGTGGAGCCCACTGCTGTACAAGGCTTTTCTTGGAGGAAGAGGAACCTGCAATCACCCCCCAATTTCTGAGTATATCATCAACAGTAAAATGAGAGAACACCTTCATTGTTTTTGCCCAATGCACTACTTTAACCACAATGCCTTCATACACATCTTCCACCCTTCTTTTCTTTTCCTTGAATATTCTTAGATGTCTTTCATCCCAAATCATCCATATCACTGCAGCCCTTGTGCATCTTTACTATTTTGTATGATATTAGGGCCCAAACAGTAGTGGGTTCCCCCTTTTTCCCAGCTGATACAGTGAAGGATGACTTGGAAAGACTTGATCCTTCAGGTGATGGATGAATTGATGATTGTATTTGGTAATGCCACAATGAACAAGTAATTGGAGAGCCGTTGTTAAAAGAGTTCAACATTTCATAGACATGAATTCAATGAATCATCTACCATTTCTGAAATTTGGAGAGGTGACATCCTGAAGGATAAGGAAGCTTTACACTGCATTAGAGGTACCACTTCAAAAGGATATCCTCCACATGGATAAATGTCATGGCTAATTCAAGATAATCCATCACATCAGTAGGGGAGCCTTTTGGATTGGCCATGTGTTTGATTCTTCCATCCACATCAACCCCGTACCTTGTATTTATGTTTTAGAAGTTGAGTTAACCAATCTGAACTTAAAGTCTGACTAAAAAAATGTTAAGGACTTATCCTGGCTGCATGGCAAGATCTTTTAAACCAAAATTTATCCCATAAACATAGGGAGGGGAGAAGAAAGTGAAGAATTCTGTTGGGCCTCAAATCAACTTGTTACATGGGATATTCATAGGTTATTTAGACTTCTAGATTCGCATGACTTTATACCACTTTTGGCGTGTATTTTTTACACTATTAAATTAAATTCTATTGGCTTTGCCTAATTAGCCTGAGGCATCACTGAGAAGTTATTTAATGTTTGTCTAAAACGGGGGATGGTCTCTGAGCTATATGAGAAGTGGCTAGGATGACTATAGATGGTCTACGTGCCAAGAGACAACTTTATGGAAGCCACTGGGACTTTGGGATCCGTTGGAAAATATATTATTACCAATGGGACATGGTTTCTGTAACAGTAATTTTTTCTATAGCTATTGGGATTTTGGGAGCTGTAGTTTTCATTACTTATTGCTATAGTTCATTTTTTTTTGGTACACGATTGCTATATAGCTCATTTAAACAAGCCTCTTTAGCATGTATAAAACAAAGAAAAATGTTCTCTCTTCTTATCAAGTATCTTGTTTTTTCTGATCTTTGTTTATGCTGCCCTCTTTCCAAAACGAAGATAACCAGTAAAGGGAATCCAAAAGAAACGTATTGGGCATGCATGTCATCTAACATTGTATGGTTGTTCTAGGAATGTTGCATTTGCCTTTCTCAGTATGTGGATGGAGCAGAGCTGCACACGCTTCCTTGCAATCATCATTTTCACTCTGGATGCATTGTCAAATGGCTCCGGATAAATGCGACATGTCCTCTTTGCAAATACAATATTCTGAGAGGTGATGAGCTGGTCTAACTCTATCCATGTCATTCAGATTCAACAAAAAACATTGCAGTGGTCATTTCTTGAGTGGGGAAGGGATGGGATGAGCTCCAGATGGTCATTACCTTGTTGATCTGTAGACATTGATGTAAGTTAAGAAGCTTTTTACTTGCATTGACACCAGCCTGTCTAGCTCTGTAAATTTTCTTGTTTTCGCTGGCTTTAAATTTTGTTGGGTGTTACCCAGTTTTATGATATGAAGGCTTCTGAGAAGCAGAAATCTGGAAATTTAGATAGGAGGGTTGTCTTCGTATTTCTTATCCAAGTGAAGGTTAAGGTATTGGAAATGCGAAGGGTATCGGAAAGTTGATTTCGAAGACGTGTCTTAATTAAAAAGATTCTTAAATATAGGAGTTAATGATAAGAGAATGTGAGGAGATAATGTATACGTTCATAGTATCAGTTTGAGTTTCGGCCATTCCACCTGTGCCATGCATCTGTAACCTTGAAAATCAGCCGATACATATTGATACTTAAAACCTTGGTCCGGGTAAACATGAAGCCCAGGGCTGTCAATGGGTCGGGTCTGACCTGACGGACCAGATGGACCCAAGCCGGTTGGGGCGGTTCTTGTTCCAGGAACTGGAACCAATGGGCCAGTTTCAGGTCCTGATAGGTTCCAATTACTATCAGTTTAGAACTGGTTTCACGTAGTCCTCAACTGATTCAGTCATTCAGACCTGGCCCAAATGTCCTGAGAACTGATCGGTTCGGTTCCGGGTCCAAAAGTTAGACCCTATTGGGTTTGGGTCCTTGACATTTCATGTTGGGTCGGTTCCAGTTTCAGGTTTCGCCCGAGACCTGATCCATTGACAGTCCTACGTGTGGAATCCCTGTTCATTTTGCTTGAAATTCATTAGTGTACAAAGACCACCCATGGAATTGGGTGGGTAAGCAGGCTGGGGGCGATCGAGGTGGATTTGAGTTGATTTTCGGATGCCCAATAGCCCCGAAAAAGTAGTCTGCATTCTAGAACTTGGCTCTCCCATAGCCGTAGTCCTATTTCATTGAACATATTGCAATATAAATTATATAATAACCACTAATCCGCTCTAATACGGCTAAGGCAGGCTAGGACTAGGAGATGGGACTAGAAGTGCTTGGCCACACTCAAGCAAGCTTATTTTATCTTACTACCCTCTCTCGAGTCGCAACTAGAGGACTTGCTGCAAATTGTTCTCAACCCCAATTCCATCCAAGGTTGAAAATATCAAATCAATACAACATCACGGTATATTGTATAGGATTTTGGAACGACCGGCACTTGGCATATGTGAAATACTCGAGTATCTGTGCTTATACCTTTGTTATATAGTCATTTGAACCTTAGATTTAGAGCCACTGCTGTTTCTGCCTAAAACGTTTTGGGTTGATCAATAAAAATTGACATACAACTGCTATGTGAGACTGTTTTATGGTCAAAAGAGCAAATCTTAAAAATGCATGTGGGTGGCTGTTTGTAGAAATGTTAAATTGAAGGTTTTTTTTTTTTTTTTTTGTTTTCGTTCCCAGAGTGAAGTCTAATCATTCTAGCTCAAGTGATTCTCATAAATGATGCTTGATCACCCTGCCATCGCCACCTTACCTTGTAATTGCACAAGTCTAAGAAAAGTTTCATTGGCTCGCAGTCTTCCAACAAGCTCAGATCTTGGTCTATCCCCAGATGCTATTACCATATGAAACAGCACAAAACCAAGCGGCCATATACAAAGCAACGGTTTGACTACCAATATGATAAATGAAAATATGCATCCATCTGATCAACAGATATGCCTTACCAAATAAGGTAAATTTGTGTGTATTACCAACAGATATGCCATACCAAACAATGCAATGCTTATTCAAATTAATTCTTAACTTCATTACTTTTTATTAAAAATTTAATCATTCTTACTATTATTTAAGTTTCATTCATTTACATTATTTATTAATTCTATTACAAGTGTTATTATTTTTTAAATAGAGATGCCAATGCATTGGATCTGGTTTGGAATAGTTGACCTGACCTCGACCAACTATGAAGCTATGTTGACCTAATATCAAACCAGACCCTATTGGGTCCATGATGCCAAAACCAATACTGGACTAATTAAACCAATTAGTAATTGGGATAATCGGGTCTATGGGTGAGCATTATTCAGTTAAAGCTGAAAAGTCGAACCAAAAATTTTGGTTTTGGTTTCAGTTTTCAGGTTTAGAAATTTGGTTAACTGAAAAAAAAAATCGGATTAATCGAACTTTATTATCTATAATATATATTAACATATAGTACATATATAATATGTATAAAATATATTATTTTGTATTAAATTATATATTAAAATATATAATTTATTATATATATTATATAATGAATTTTTAATATATAGTACATATATAATATCTATAATATATATTAAAATATATATAGTGTTGAAATTCGGGTTTAACCGAAATAACCAAAAACCAAATTGAAAATTTCAGTTTCAGTTCAGTTTTTCATTTAAATTTTGGTTTATTTGGTTTGATTTTTAACCAAATAAACGGTTTGCTCACCCCTAATTGGGTCTACTACGTCCCTAAAGCTACAATGTTTGTTGCTGCAAAAAGATAACCACTAAAAGTGAACTGCCCAATGAGAATAAGGCTGCACTTGGCATTCCTTATTTTAAGGACTTATCTCCTTTTTGCAATTAAAAGCTCAGTGTTTATGAGGGCATTTTTAACAGCAAAAAGGAGATAAGTCCTTAAAATAAGAAATGGTTGCAAATGGTGGTTGGTCTACACAGTGACACACTTGTAGTTTTACTAACTAGAATAGGGCATTGTTTTATAGAGGTACATTTTCTAAAGTAGAATATGGAACTGACGGCGTGCATTCCTGGACATTAGTAATCTATATCTATACTACTATTAAAAGTACCAATGATGCGATTTTTTTTTCTTAATTAAGAAGCCCCAATCTTTAAGTTTGGTATTTTCTAATTCTAAGCACATTTGAACTACTACTTTTCACCTCATTGAATTCTTTTTCATTAAATCTTATATTTAAGATATTAACTCTCATTTTCTCTCATTAAATCATATATTTAAGGTATTTTTCTCACCAATAAATTCTACTAATTAGATGTACATTCAATAGTTTTAATAATATCCATTGTTTAAAAAAGACTGAGGAATACAACCATTCTTCCATCTAGGTGGTGTATAAGAAATTCAAACATCAGGTTCAAATGGATCAACTCATTATGTCATAGTTAAACAACAAAAATTTTAAATGAAAAAAAAAACAAGTGTTACGAAAACAAAAATATGTAGAAAATTTTTTATTGATGATAGAAATGAGATACAAAATTTAAAACTAACCTAAAAATAAAATCGTTTTTTTGTTTGGCAACGACCTACCATAGCATACTCTTTGTAAGTGTGGTGAGGCAGTGCACTCTCCTTGTACTACTCATCTTGCAAGTGTATAGAATTCTTACTTGATTACCTAAAGAAGTGTCCAAGAAGGAAAATTGTACTATCTAGACATGATGAATTGAGGACAGACATGCTTACAGAAATAGATTGGCAGAATCTTTGAGTGTTAGGAGATCTATCTCAAGTTTTTGTGCCTTTGTTGGGAGAAATTTGGTGTCTTAAAAGATGAAGAAGCAATATGTAGTGGCTTTCTTTAGCACTGAGGCAAAGTATAGATCTATGGTGAATGATCTATTCGAAGCTCTCTAGCAGAGTCCACAAGGAGAGTTGGGTATTTAGTAGGAGTTTCCTCTTGTTATGTATTGTGATAAATTTATAATAAGACAACAATTAATATTATCCATAACCCAGTTTAGTATGATTGTACATATTGAAGTGGACCATCACTTCATTAGGGAAGAATTGTTCTCTAGTGATGTTTGTCGGTCTTAAAGCAATGTTTTAAAAAACGACCCAGAACCGGAACCGTTCTAGCACCAGTTTCTGGGTTGACGTTTCGACCGTCCGGTTCAAATGGATAGCTTGTTCTAATAAAAAATTAAAAATAATTAAAATAAAAAAAAGGCACAAAAACCATTGAACAGGTCTACAGTTTGACTGCCCGTGTCAACAGATCGTTGATTGATTCAACGGTTTTTTTTTTTTTGCCAAGGACTGGATTTGGGGTAAAATGAAACCGACTGCCTGGACAGTTCTGGGCTGAACGGTCCAACCATCCGGGTCAATGACAGTTTGAAAATCATGGTCTTAAGTGAAGATGGATCAGTAACTAACACATGTTTTTGAAGGGGGTTTCTTAGCTAAAGCTACAGGTGACTCTTGACAAGCTGGGATGTTAAACATTTGACAATCTGGTTTATTCATTATTGGGCTTTTAGCTTTTGTTGTTATTGTTAATGGGCTCTAATAGATGTTTAGGCCTATATTCTTTTAGTCTTTTATTGTTGCTGCCCTTAATTAAGGTATACATGTAATTCATCCTTTATTTATGATGTATAAACAATGTTCAAAATATCGATACGTATCGGCCTGTATCGGCCGATATGTATCTTATCGGGAGCTTCCCAATATGTCCCTACAGAGGATGCACTGGGGTTTTGACCGGTTCAGGGGGTGGATGGACCTTAAACCAGCCCCTCTAGATTTCAAAAAAAAAAGAAAAAAAACTATTAATACTGCTCAATACGAGCGTATCAATATTTTGAACCTTGTGTATAAAATAAATCCACGATATGTGGATTCCCTTTATTCCTTAATCTTTCTCTTCTTTCTTTTTTCCTCTTTATGTCTTTCTTTTCTACAAAACCCACTATTCTCTCTTAGATCCCATTTCCCTATTTTTCTTGGAAGATTTTGTTTCTGAACTAAACCCATATATACAGCATAAATACAAATATGTTATGATAGTAAAATAATAATGACTTGGTTTTAAATAGAACACGCCAATTGAGGGGTGGCTCAGTTGGTTTGTTAACCGGTTCTGCAACCACCAACTTTGAGGAGGGAGTTATTAATGTAGTCTGGTGGGAATCACCAAATACCAAAACAAAAATAAATAAATAAGATAATTCTAAACAGACAAGCCAAGATAATCAGACGTCAATGGCCTAAACACATCACTAGCCTCTACTTCCAAGAATTCCAGTTGCCCTTTCAGTAGATGCATGTAGACAATCCAGTCACCATTCCCGCTTGAACTAGGCATAGGCATCACGTACCCAGCCTCACCATTCCATGGGAAATGGTAAGACCCAAATACGGGCCTACCCCAGCCAAAGTCCACTTTGCTGACAGGGAACCCCTGCCCGGAGGAAACCACAAACGCCGGTCCATCCTCTCTTTTGCTGCAGTAAATCGTTGCTAGCGCTGCCTCTGGCCGGTGCTCCTCCACCCAATCAATCAAACCCAGGAAGTGCTCCTTAGTAACTGCATCTTTCAAGTAGTCATGCACCACGTTTGCTACCCAATCCAATGGCTTTGTCTTCAGATCACCTACAGCTTTCTTGCCAAAAGGAATGGAAAGCACATTTCCAAAGTAGTTAACCATCGAACATGTTGTGTCTTCAACCCCATTACTTAGTCTCCTCCGCCCATCCACAACAATACCCATCTTGCATCTCTCAGCATCATCACTGCTGGTTTTGGCAATAATCTTCCACAAAAATGCGCTAAAAGACTCGATTTTGCTTCTCTTTTTGTAGTTGTTGGAGTTGGATAGAGATTGAAGATAGTCGATGTCCTGGGCTCTGACGTAGTAGATGCGACTTATGAGATGATCAGCTCCAGGTTTGGGAACTGTAGGAGGAGGCAACATCGATCTAGGCACGGCCACGTACATGTCATCAAAGGATGGGTCGTAACATGTTGGACTTCTAGGGTTTAGTAAGGATCGAGTGAATGACGGGATGATGGATATGGGTCTTGACTGAACAAGCTCCGCCCATGCCACAAGGAACATATTGGCAGAGTGGGCATCTACTACTCGGTGATCAAATGTGCATGCAACCAGAATAGCTCCACATCTGAGCTCCGTTGCCTGTTCATACAAATGGGGTCTTAAGCATCATCATATATGTCTCAACTGCGAAAATGAAAGATATATATTACTTGATAGTACCATGCTTAAGTGGAATAGGCTGCAAGAAGTTTGGGTGACCTATTGTGGACTTCGGGTTGTTAAAAGAGCCAGTGGGAATGGGGATGTCAATGAATTAGGTTCAGCACAGGTTTGGTTCAACCAAACCCAACCCGAACCAACTAAAGAAAACGAAAATCCAACCCATCCCAAAGATTGTACTCCTGTACTCAACCAATATTTTTTTTAAGGCTCAGTTTGGAAGGAGTACAAATACAAATATGTAAAGTACAAAACTATGTATTTTATATGTATTTGTACTATACATATTTATTTGTATTCGTACTTCTTCCAGACTGAGCCCGAGCCTAAGGATGTGCTTGGTTCGAAGGAAAAAGTAGGGAAAGGAAAGGAAAGGTAGGAAAACTTTTACAAACCTTGTATGAGTTTCTTTACCTTTCCCTTCCTTTCCCTACCTTTTTCCTTCAAACCAAACATAGCCTAAGTGTTTTTTTTTTTTTTTCTGTATTACTTTTTTAAGTGTTCAATGCTATATACCAATTAGATAGTCGGGTTCAGAATGAGGCATTTTGAACCTGAGCCTAGCCCAAAAACCGTTTTAGGCTGATGTGACCTTACCCAATAAGGTAAGGTCAATTCGGGTTTACCTCTTGTCCCGATTTTTTTTTCTTAATATTAATCACACACTCTATAGGGACATTACTCTTTTAAGTGAACAATACAATATCACATCAACAGAAGCAATGGGATGGATTACATGAATCTTGTTTGACCAATCCCTAAATGAAAACCATAAATTATTAGAGCAAAGGATAAAGGTAGAATGATGGAGCCTCTCAAAGATATGAGATGTGAGAAATAAATTAAAGGAAGGAAACTTGATTGTGTTTTTACGTTTTAGTGGTAATTGAATGTAGAAAAAACCTTGTTCTTTTGATAGTCAACTGAGTGATGAAACGTGGTGGTGGTTTACAAGTTAACAGAGTCATCAACTCTTGTATGAGTAAAGGGGGAAAGGGGGAAGAGGGCAATCTATCTAGTTATAGTGTTAGCTCAAATGAATCAAAGCTAAAAAAGAAGGTATTTACCGAAGCAAAGAAAAATCTAATTAAATTAATTATCCGTGCCTTCATAACTCAACAGTGGCAAATATAACTGCTGCGCCCCCATAGTTCCCAGCGTTGGCTGAGAAGGGGAAGTAGAGAGGAAACAGGTAATGGGTTTGGGAGAGAAGAGGGCGTTCTGTATTGGAGTTGGGAATGTGCACCTTTTGATTTTAGACCTTTTGAAAAGGTAAATAAATTCAATTAATTTTTTTTGATATATTAATACAACACATTAATAACTCTCAAGAGTTATAATGGAAAGGAAAAACCTATCATGCAGAAAAAATATGGTATGGAAAAAATTATGACCAATCAAAATCCACTCATAAATTTTGATAAATAACACTATATTCACTATCACGTTTATGATTCTGATTTATTGGTCAATTGTTTTTCCGATATCATATCTTTTCCATATCATAATTGAAGATAGATAAGCAGGACTCTAATCCCAATCTCCACTGGAACTACTCAATTAACATACCAATGAACCACCACTCTGTTTATCTTTACAACACGCTGTTTATATAGGCTGCCATCATTAACATATGAAACATGGCAAAATGTTGTTCACTCTGGGCAGGGAATTCCTTCGGAAAGTGGGCAGCCAAAGCTCAGATACCGGCTTCAGTCAAGGCACATTCATGCCCACACCGTTCTAACTTCTAACAGCCTTTTTCAACCTTGCATTGAGAATATCTCTTCAAGAAATAAAACATATAAGTATGGAGATATTTTCAATGCAAGACAGTAAAGACTGTTCGAACAGAGTTTGCCGTCACTGAACCTGAAGTCAAAAGCTCACCACCAGATACGATCTATTTTTATTTATTTATTTCTGGGTTAATATGCCAATCTTTGAGGTATGCATAAAGCTAATAATTTAATATTATCTCTCTATATGCTTGTGCCAATATTGTTATTATTATTAGAAAAGGCGCCCCACCGCTAGTCGCCCCACACAACGTGCGACTGCCACATGTTCAGTTGCACGAAGTGGGGCATTTTTGCGTGTAGGCCCGTTCAGTTCAAATGCCCCTCAATCTCAAATCAATATTTTAAAAAATGACTCAGAAACAAAACCATTTTGTCCATTGTTTTTTGGATCGATAGTCTGATTGTTTGGTTCAAACGGACAGGCCGTTCTAACAAATAACTTAAAAAATAAAAAATTAATTAAAAATAAAAAAATGATCAAAACTATTGAACGGGTCGACAGTTTGATCACCCAGGTCAATAGAACCGATTGTTTGGATGGTTCCCGGGCCGAACAGTCTGATCGTTCGAGTTGACAGTGGTTCAAAAACTTTGTCTCAAATCATGTCTGACCCCCGTTCTACTCCCCTCCGCCTGAGCTCGGATCCAACTCCATTTTTAGCAACAACGATCGCTCTGGCCAGTTCACCGTTACCAGGTATGCTCCAACCCTCGTATTTTGTTTTGATATTTGTTTTTTTTTTTTTCATTTCAAATCAGAGAAACCCCCGTTTGATATTTTGTTTTTCATTTCAAACCAGAGAAACTTTCTTTCCCTCTTCCAACTCCCTCTTTGGCACCGGCAATCGCTTCAACTAGATCATCGGAGCGATCCTGGTGACAGTGAGCTAGTCGGAGCGATCATCGGTGCTAGAGATGGAGTTGGATCTGAGCTCAGGCGAAGGAGAGTAGGATGGGGGTCAGACAATATTTGAGGTTGAGGGAACGGGAATATGGGAGCAATGTTTTTGAACTGTCGTTGACTCAGACAATCGGACTGTTCGGCCCAAGAACCGTCCAAGCAACGGGTTCCGTTTTACCCCAAACTCAGTATTTGGCAAAAAACCGTTGAAAAAATCAATAATCTATTAACTCAGGCGGTCAAATCATCATCCCATCAATCCATTCAACGATTTTGACTGTTTTTTATTTTTAATTATTTTTTATTTATTTATAAAAATGGATTATCCATTAACTAGATTGTTAAATTGTTGACCTGAAAACCAATGGTCAAAACAATTTCATTTCTAAATCATTTTTTAAAATATTGTATGAGAAAAAAAAAAGTTTGAACGGTCAACACCCCCTGCGTAAATATATATGTTTTATTTTATTGTCCTGATTATTCATGAACCGTCCAGAGTTTCAGTTTAGTGCTGCATATTATGATCATCTAGCATTGGAATCAACCATTCATGTTTCTAAACAACAAATTAACCATAATGTGCAATGTTAATTATTTAAATATACTTTGCGGTTTAATCAAAATACCAAAATATTAACTATACCCTATGGTTCAAAGGCACTTAGTGGAGTCGGGAATTTTTTCTGAGAGAGTCAAAACTTATGAATGGATCATAAATGAGACCAACTATTGAGTGAAAAGTGAAGGGAGAGAGAAAAAGTAACAACAAACTAAAAATCGTACAAATTGTTTTGTAGATAAATGGGCCATCTTATGATGTATATCCAACTAGTTTTTTAAACCACAACGTATACTTGATTATTTTTGTCAACTCACAGAGTATATTTAAGTAATCAATCTTTGCCAACATTAGAAAGAGTACAATTAATAGTAAGCACAGAAAAGTGGAAATTACTGTGGCAGCCTGACAGGAGAGGTACATGTAGAGCCCAGTTACAACTGAGACTGATTAGATATAGTTAGCATCAAAGAAGAAGAAATTAGGAGTTATCAAAATTATTGTTACCTGAACACAGAGCACACCTTCCTTCCTCTCGGGGACAATATTTGCAAGACTGGAATCTGGGTTGTAGAACTGGACATCTTGTAGATCCACGTCCGCACAAGCTTCGATGAAATCCACCCCTCTATTATTGCAGAGTAGCATTGGTTCACCTACAGAGTTGATCACAATCTCACCAGAAAGGGGGTAATACGAAACCAGAGCTTCAGACAGTGCTTTCTTGAGAATTCTAACCATGGATGTAAATGTGAGATTTTCCTGCTTTCTTGGCTTTTGGTAACAAAAGAAAACACCTACATCCAGCGGTGGCAGTAGTAAGTCCAGGTTTGAGAGCTGCAAGTACTGTTCCTGTAATGGCAACACTGTTGCAACCACCTCCTTTCTCTTCAAACTTACTTTGAAGCCACCCATGAGAGAGAGAGAGATGTTGTGAAATTTGCAAATGTTGGATGTATTAGATAACTTGGGTATTGATTTATAGACAGAGCTAAGGTGTGTTAAGGAATTTATTGTTTTAATAAATGTATTTCAAATTTAGGCTCAGTTTGGAAAGAATATAAATACAAATATATACAGTATAAATACATAGAAAATAATACTATGAAGTCCATTTCAACGTAGGGACAATATTAGATAACTTGCATATGAAAATCATGTCAGGGTTTTAGCTAAGTATCAATTTTTTGTGCTAAGTACCTCGTCATTTGGTCTGCTTTCAATTATTTTAATTAATTAATAAATATATTCATTACTTTATTAATATATTATTATTTTATTATTACTTTACTAATATTTTATCACTAGTTTAATAATATTATCATTTAATTATTAATATATAATTATTTTATTATTAACTTATTAATACTTGTTGTTTTAGTTATATTTTATTAATAGTTTTTTTTTTCTGTTAAGAGTTTTTTAATTTTGGAGAAAATGTCTAGAAGGGGAATCCTATTCCCAAGTTAGCCAAGGCCATAGCCCTAACCCAACCTAAACTTAAGTTATGTGGATACTTTTCAACCCTAGCGCTAACTCAAACTCAAACTTCAACCCAACCCAATACCTATCCGACTCATTTTGGATATATAAAGACTGGATTAAATTATTGGCTTTTAGCTAGGTTCTCAAAATATGTTATAAAACTAGAATTATAAATTTTGTGGATTGGTTCAGGTCAAAATTTGGTTGAATCGGGTAAGCATTTAGGTAAAATCCATATTGAACTAAGCCTATAATGGCATCCCTACCTACAAGCAGTCCTTCAAGGTTAATTAATTATTTAACCAAATTTGAATAACAATTAGTTAATTAATTGATAACTACAAATAAAACATAAAATATTAATCAGTAGAAAAGATTATTAATTAATAAATTATTTAGTAATAATTAATTAAATAGATAAAAATGAAATCCAATAGAAACAAGTAGTTCGAGTACCAAAATTAATCAAAAGACTGAAATAAAGGTGTTTTGAATGAACACTGAGAAAACAATTTAAAAAAGGAAGGTAAAAAACCTACTACTAGCCAAGAGAGTAGATCAGAACTCCTTCAACGTTTGTCCAAACTCCATGAAAATTCCAGAATAAGCAAAACTAGTTAGGAAACATAGTCTGTCAAGTTTCACTTTGTACAAATGTTGCATCAAAGAAAGAGAGACAGACTATTCAGTTGGTCAGTCGTTAGTCGACCCAACCCATTAAATGATGTATTTATTATATTGTCAAAATTGTCCTTACGTACAAATGCCCAAAAATATGCATACAACAAGGGATAAAATGACAAAACTATCCCACTTCTCTACATGTGTGGATAAGTGTCGGCATAATTATCGCATGACCGTTGTCATCTCTCTCTCATTAGGTCCTGTATTGCTAATGAATTATTGTTATCTCTTGCTTACATTATTTGAATTGATGATGTGATTATTGGGAGATGTTTTTAATACATAGCGATATGTGCAGTGACGTGACGTAAGACGTCGTTTCTCTACTTTTTCCTTAAAATCAAAAACAACATTATTTATCTGATTCAATTTTAAGTACGAAAGTAACAGGCTAACACCTACATACAAGTGGATATTAGGAATACTGTCGGTGTCAGGCAAAAATAGAAGGGGATGCTATGGCAATGTGAATCCCAAGCAAATAACATGTGAAAGATAACAACCAACTTGGAAGTTCAATTCTGTCAGATGTGAAGAGAAGGAAAACAAGGGGCTGCCTATGCTTTTCGGATGTATGCTGAGTTTTTTGCACCCTAAACAAACAGAGCCTTTAGATTGATAGGAAATATATAGATTTCCATTCTCATCCAACATCCTAACCCTCTCTCATTCACTATATCTCGAAGAGAGTAACTAGGATTTTTAGGATGGAAGAGAATGTCTGTTCTGAAGAGAGAAATTTATCATTTATCATTTTAATAAATGTGTTTGAAATTCTAACTTAATATTTTCTTGAAAATTCCAATTTAATTTAGTAAATTATTTGAATCTTTTTCTATCGTCATCCAAACATTATCCCAACTATAAACTGGCTACATGCATGAATCCTGTTTGGCCAATCCATTTCCTTTAAATTATTAATTTGTAAGGTTCTTCAAGTGGATTTAAGGGTCTGTCCCAACATTGCCTCTCATCTATCGAACGTTAAAAAGAGAGATTGTATCAGTAGGGACCGATGTCTACGGGTAGTTTTAAATGGTAAACCCAACTTGACCCAACCCTGCAGGGTTGAGTTAGGATCAGGTTTCTCGGGTGTAGGGTTGGATTAATATTTTGAGCCTATGGTACTATTTCAAATCGGTTTGGTTGACATGTCCCATTTGATCAAAATGCCCTTCTATATAGGTAAGGTTCAAAGTATCGACATGTATCAGCCTATATCGGCCTATACGTATTTGTTGCCAATGCTCTGTGTTGCTGTTTGCCATGCATCATAGCAATTCTGTATTCCATGGCAGTTCGGGAAGGTGCATCTGAAGATGATATCAAGACCCTTCCAAGATATAGGTTTCGCCAGGTTAACAAACAAGAGACATCTGTGTTGGATAAGAAATAACAAGTTGCAGTGGCTGTAATGGAGCCAAGCACCAGTGAATTCATACATGAACTTGCCCTCCCACCAGAAGATTCTGTAAGATTGTTTCAATGTTTAAGTATTTATGCAGTGATAGAATGTTGTCCCTGTAGATGAAGTAGCACATAATGATCTGACTAGAATTCTGGTAAATACTTAGAATATGAATTACATTAAGGGGTGTTCTTTTTTTGGATTTGGAGAGGGGAGAAAGTTGGTCAATAGGATTTTGGTTCCCATTGACCAAGATTCCCATGTTCTTTTTTCAATTTTTTGTGGGGACCAGGAAAGACCAGGAAAAGTTTATTTTAATTTCCTGGGTATCACTTACCTAGTAAAGTGATACCCATCTCTTAGGTGGGTAAATACCTTTTCCACATAGAGACAAAGTTACAAACACTTGAATGGGACAAAAATGTCCCTTTTAATAATGGATTTCTATGGCTAAAATGGTCATTGCCTTATTTACCTAAGAAATAAAAGAACATGGGTAAATACACTCACCTGAATAAATGTTTCCCACAAAAAAAAACTTACCCATAAATTATATTTACCCAGATAAATAACTTAACGAAAAGCGAACAAGGCCTAAAAAGCTAATCTGAGCTGATGATAAGACTAATATGCATTGCAAAACAGAATATATCTGAATTCATAGATGAATTAATTTAATATCATCCTATGTCATATATGAACCTGAGGTCACTATACATAGAAATAAAATTCCACATATTCCCAGATACATTGATTTCAACATTGTTTAGAATTAAAAGCTTATTTGATTACCTATTCAATGGCCTGGATGTCATTTGGGGGAATGATTAGAAAAGACAAATCTGTGTAATGAAATGAAGTATATGGTGTTGAATGGAAGAGGTTGTCAGAAGGAAAAAGGTTATATTTTAGAAAATGGAGATGACACTGGACCTGCATCTATTTCATAGTCTTAAAAATGTGAGCTTATTTCTTTTTACAGGCATTAAGAAGAGAAAATTAGGTATATTTTAGGTTTTATTGGAATATCATCAAGAGAGAATTTGATTTGGTGGAGACATGGATGTGGAAGCCCCCGTCAGTGTTCTGCTTACAGCTTGATCCTTTCCAAGGTTTTGAACCTGCTTAGATAAAAGCTTTTGAATGGTAGCATATGATGCATTTAGTGGGCTTTACTCATGATATTTATCTCAGTATTTCTTGTATTTTTGGTTTAGGGGGTGGTGGGGGAGGGGGTTTCTGAACAAAGAAATCTGACAAATTTGAAATCTTTATTATTTTGTATGATATTAGGACAGAAACAGAGTACTGGGTTCCTCCTTTTTCCAGCTGATACAATGGAGGATGACTTGGAAAGACTTGATCCTTTAGGTGATGGGTGACTGTATTTGGTAATACCACAATGGGCAAGTCATTGGAGAACCATGGTTAAAAGAGTTCAACATTTCATAGACATGAATTCAATGAATTATCTACCATTTCTGAAGTTTGCAGAGGTGGCATCCTCAAGGATAAGGAAGCTTTACACTGCATTAGGGGTACCTCTTCAAAGGGATACCCTCCACATGCATAAATGTCATGGCTAATTCAAGATAAATCCAACACATCAGTAGGGAGCCTTTTGGATTTTGGCCATGTATTTGATTCTTCCGGCCACATCAACCCTGTACCTTATATTGGTGTTTTGGCCAAGTTGAGTTAATAAATATGAATTAAGGGTCCATTTGGTTCGCAGTTGGAATCGAAATCGAAATCCTCTGGAGTCGGAATCGGAATGGTCCATTCCCATAATCTGTTTAGTTCAGACAAGAATGGGAATGAAAATTAAAATCAGCAGGAATGGGATTTAATTCTCAAGGGAGAGGCAGGGAATGGCCATTCCCTCAAATGGGGGAATGCCATTCCAGCAGGAATAGGAATAGGAGTCCGAATCCGCCCAACCAAACAGTTGGAATCAGAATAGCCCGTTCCGATTCTGATTCCAGACCCCTATTCCCGCGAAGCAAACAGGGCCTAAGGCACAGTTTGGAAAAGGTACAAATACATTTAATGTCTTATGGCAAGACATTAAATGCCCTGTTTGTCTTATGGCAAACGGGGCCTATTCGTCAGTTTTTCGGTATTTTAATTTTTACAATATATATTATGAAAATATATAATAAAAAATTATACATACACATATAATATTATATTTTAAATAATAAATAATATATCATATATTATAAATATATATTTATCTATATAATGCATATTTATTAATTTATATAATATACATAAATATATATAACATATAGAAATATATGTATATCGGTCGGTTCGGTTAATCGCCGGTTTTCTATATTGGTTAACCAAAACT